GAATTGTCTGTCCGTTATCCTGAACTTCCCAGCAGCGCACCTGTAACAGGAGAAACCAATGCAGATAAACCATATTAACAGGAACATGAAAAGACTTGTCATGAAGACCCCAGCCTTAGTTTATCCAACAAAAAGTATGGTTAAAAATACCAAAGTCAGGGTTTTTTCAGAACTAGTGAAACCTTATTTATTCTACTTGTGTTCCTTTCACCTGCAGAGCCAAAACTCAACCCCACGACTTCAGTTCCACCTCAAGAGTACCTTGCAAACCTGTAGCCCTCACCACACTGTCCTGAAGAACCCTTAACCCTCAGCTGGGCAAAACACAACGGTTAGAAAACTCGCCCATATTCATCTTCCCTCCCTCCCTGCCTGATCCAGCTGGGATCTCATCCTTCAAACCAGAAAAACCTGTTATGATAACTTAATCAATAACTTAATCTTCCTGGGTTTGCGCTGTCAAAGTGGATGATTTATTGACTATGTAAAACTTAGTGCCTTGGTACCACACATAAATTTTGCAGTTCTTCAACAAGTTAGGCTTTCAGGTGCCCTGCACAAGGTTTTTGGATCCCATTTTGCAATTTAGGCACTTTATTCATCTGCATGTCTAACTGAGAATACTTACATCATTTGCCCATGATCCTGCAATGAGGAAATTACCCGGCAGCGTTGGTGGACTAAATGCTAAACAAGATATGCTGTCATCAGGTGGAGATGTTACTTCAATATCCTATAAAGGACAGGAGACAGAACAACTTTTGAAAACTGTGAACTGAGCTCTTATTACTTTTACAGAGTAAGTTTGTAGGTCCTGCTGTGACAAATTAACACGCACAGCAGCACAGGGTGCTGACACACGTACCTTCATCGGGTTGTGGTTATCTGCTGTCGTGCTGCCAAACATGCTGGTACCTCCGGTACCGAACCCCGACGTTGACCCGAACAGACTCATCCTTGCCCTGCAAACGAGAGAAAGGTTGAGCCCTGCAAGGCCCTCAAGCACACCAGGGGCGTCTCACCGCAGCCACCACGCCAGGACACCCCTGGGACCTACCCAGAGATATACAAATATACCACACAAAACACAGTAAAATAAAATAAATAAACAAAATTATTCTTCTTGTGGCTGTTGGATCCCCCACACCACCCGGCTGCCCACCCTGCCGCGGATCCCTCTCGGGCCGTGTCCTGGCAAAGCCAACCCCTCCGTGCCTCTCACCGGCACCCGGGGCTGCGGCAGCGAGGCCGCCAAGGGAAACCCAACCCCGGGCCCGGCCGG